CCCACTAAAACTGGTCAGATCTTCGGAGAACGGTAGATCGGAGACGGTCCTGCACATTTTCGCAGATATGACGTCATATGTGGATTGTTGGTTAGGGTAAGGGCAAACCTCAGCAGATTCCAGTACCCTACAGTACCCTAGCTAGATGTAGAGTAACGGAATCTGCCGAGGTTTGTCGAGTGGGGTAAGGGTTAGGACCTGTAAATTTCGGTGAAGTCTCAAGATGTAAACAGGGCTAGGGCTGGACCTTACCCAACCCTATCACATAATCCACATATGACGTCATATGTGGAGGACCGTCTCCAATTTAACGTTCTGCCAGATCTTCATGCAGTAGAGGCCATCGAACGAATAAAAAAAAAACCTATATTTTAATCTTTATTTTAATCCGATTACTGACATTCAGTATTTACTTTTATGTTTACACATAATGTTTAGCTTTCATTTCTAGGATAAGAGAGAGAGAAATGGGGTTTAACGTCCACTCGACACAAACTAGGTCATTTCGGGACTAACATATGGTTTATTTATTTCAATAATTCGCTTGCGCGTAGGGGTCTTTAGCAGTGGGAGGAAACCGGAGGACCCGGAGAGAATCCACGAGGTTGGACAGGCGACCCTACTCCTTGTCACGTACAACCGGGGAATCGAAACCCCGCCAGTTGACTCAATGACAGACCGTATAATACAGCGCGCGAGTGCTAACCATTCGGCCACCCAATCCCCCTTCTAGGATAAGAAAGCGCATTTCTCGACTCTGCCTGTCCCGAAATCTCTACGTTTTTACGTAGCCAATATATGCTATGTAGTGTAGTCCCGAAATGAACTAGTTTGTGTCGAATGGACGTTACCTCCCCCCCCCCCCCCAACCACCCCTCTCTCTATCTCTCTATCTTTCTCTCTGTGGACCAAAATAGATATGTTTATGGAATCAATAGATAACTGCCCTGGAGAAATCCGCTCACCACTGGTGCAGGACGGAGGGTCTGCAAGGGAAAAACGCCCAGTCTAGTGTATACCACTGGTATAACTTTAAACATCATCTAACAGTGGGGAATCAGAATAAGAGAAGACCACATATCCACTGCCCCAGCAACATGTCCATATACATTTATGTATATATAGAAATAATAGATCGTGCTAAATTTGATTACACGCAATTAAAAGTCGTTTTCATCTAATGCCTAATATCGAGTATTGGGAACGGGAAACAAGACGATTATAATTTATGTATATATAGGAATAATAGATCATGTTAAATTTTATTACATGCAATTAAAAATCATTTTCATCTAATTCCTAATATCGAGAATGGGTCTTGAACATTCGATTATAATTCATGTTTTTCTTTAAGTGGCATTTAGTAATTAAACAGTAACACACTAACACTATTTATGGAATAACAATCACTGGTTTATTAACATGTAAGTTTCGACGATCATTTGTTTGATAAAGACGATAGTATCATCGTCGAAACACTGCATGTTAATAAACCAGTAATTGATATTCCGTAAATAGTGTTATTGTGTAAAATTTATGTTATATTGGAATAACAGATCGTATTAAATTTGATTAAATTTAATTCAGAATTGTTTTTATTTAATGCCTAATATCGAGCGAGTATGGGAAGCTAGTGTTATATTATTATTGATGTTACATAGAAATAATAAATCGTGTTAAATTTTATTAAATGCAATTAAAAGTCGTTTTCATCTAATAATTCCTAATATCGAGTAGGGGAATCGAGTGTTGGATTATAATTTATGTTATATAGGAATAATAGATAGTCTTAAATTTTATTACATGACTAATATCGAATAGGGGAATCGAACTTTCGATTATAATATATGTATATATAGGAATAATACATCGTGTTAAATTTCATTAAATGCAATTAAAAATCATTTTTATTTAATTCCTAATATCGAGTATTGTCTTATAATTTATGTTATATAGGAATAATAGATTATATCTGATCATAATATGTATCATGTAACCCATGAAATATACAATGTTTACTATATTTACTGGGGTTAATTGGTTAACTACAGTCGGGCTAATCTTTTAATCCTTCAATAATACAGGTATAATGAGCTAATCGTCACCCCAGAAATCTACCTATCCTTTTACTTTTTTATCAGATTACGAAAAATGTGTTAAAAAATTAATTTAGTACGTTATTCAATACTGTATGCCCTAAGATAAAAATTTATATATGTATTTAAACATGTATTTAAATTATTCATACCTTTTTTTTTAAAATCACTGACAAATCTAAAATACGCTCCTCTAATCAGATAGGAGTAGGGTCGCCTGTCCAACCTCGTGGGTTTTCTCCGGGTCCTCCGGTTTCCTCCTACCGCTAAAGACCCCTACGCGCAAGCGAATTATTGAAATAAAAAAAATTAAACCATGTGTTAGTCCCGAAATAACCTAGTTTGTGTCGAGTGGACGTTAAACCCCATCTCTCTCTCTCTCTCTCTCTCTCTCTCTCTCTCATCAGATAGTATGAAACAATCTTTACAACTTCGTAACGGCACATGATCCCTTTTCCTTTAATTTTTCTTTTTTTAAATTTTCATATCAAAATTCATTTACTTTAGGGTCTTCTTTTAGAAAAGAAAATTAATGAAAAGGGGGTCTAATGTTTTTCATTTCTGCACCAACCGGGATAATGAAGATGGACATATGTCATGCAGTGTGCTTTTTGGGGATATTCTGCCTCAAACAGGGCTAGTCGCGTAACGAACTGCCAAGGGGTCATTAAGGTACTGTCAAAGGTATACACCAGAACTCGTTTTTCGTACTATTCTAACAATTATAATATTTGCCAGACTTTCCGTCAAACACCACTGAAAAAGTCTGGAAAGCAGGCTCTAAAAACACGAGGAACGTTAAAGACCCACATTCACCGAGCCACCTTCTAAAAAGAAGAAAAATGAAATAAATGTTTATTAACCGTTTAATGAATACAGTCAATACAGGCGTTGATTTTAGCCGGCCATTTGACTTAACGGTTTATCGCTTCAGAATTATCGGTAATTCGATAATCCTCTTAATCCCCGCTCTCTTTTTAATCCTCACGTGACCAGCAACGCTCCCATGGTTACCAAGATCGGATAGAATTCCCTTGGTTTTCAACAAAAGCCCACACTGTCCGTCTTCGTAGCAAGGTGTGAGCTTCAACCAGTTCTCTGCTTTTGGAGATCTTTTCATTGGAGGTAAATGCTTATTTTATATGACAAGATTTTCACATTCATATCGCTCTAATTGGATTTACTAGCTGACTTATTAGCGCCCTAAGCATAAAAAATTTAGGGGGGTTTGAAGTTTTAGAGGCAAATGAGACCATGCTTTATCGTGTTTTTAACGAGTGGCTCGCACGTTGACGACATCATTTATATTACCCGGTCTATGTAATAATTACTATTATTCAATACAAAGTAGTATTGAATGATCGAGTCGGAGTAACTTTTGTTAAAAGTATCTTGTAAGACTGAAGGTGAACGGCGTGACTTGTTACCTACCATTTGTACTCTTTGACGGTAATGTTCATCTATTCAGAGGGTTACGGTGGCTAAGTGGGTAAGACGCTGGTTCGCTAGCCTGGAGGTCGAGTGTTCGATCCCTGCATTGGCCTAGAAAGTTCATGCAGGACGGAGGACCTGACAAGGACAGCTGTCTAGTCATTCGGATGAGACGAAAAGCCGAGGTCCCGTGTACACATTGGCGTGTAGGTAAAAGATCCCTTGACAGTTGGAATTCGATATAAGAGTAGGCCGTAGTGCCGCTACCCGGAAAAAATTTCCCTCATTGCACACTGTATGGCATACCTGTCTTCATTAGCCCAGTTTGGAGCAAAACAGTAGGACGTTAAACCACATTTCATTTCATCTATTCCGGCCACTGTGCTTTTTTTAATCGAAAAATGGTATATTTTATAGACCTCCCAGAAGTTATGGATTAGAAAATTATTTATTCTATGACTATAATTTATTGAAGACTTGTAAACATACGTGTTAACGATTCTATTATAATTTCCCTTTAAAATAAAAAATTAATATTTCTTTCTAAATATTCCCTTTATTGGTGAGCAAGTACTTGTAAGAAATTTTTTTCGATCTACCTCGTACAGGTTAATAATTTATTAGTACCAATGTTTTTTTTATCTACAAATTCCAGAAGTCATCGTTGTTGACCACTCTCTCTTTTGTCTTTCTTGTGGATATTAAAGTTGATACTAGTTTAATGGTAAATGCAGTAAAATCAATAAATCGATGCTAATAATACCCACAAATGGCGAAAGCAAATATTTGAATATCCTACTTATGTAATTTTTTTCAATGCTATTCTAGCCGAATGCATACTGGATTTGATCCGGTTTTCTAGATTTCGTTCAAATTCAATTTTTAAAAAAAAATAGAATCTCTGATTTGTCACTCAGTCCCATTGTTGGTTGTCCGGATAATGAGTAATTCAGAACGGGATGTGTAGAAATTGAAATTTGAAAATCTCTGGTTGAATATATCAAGATCGTACCGTTAAAACTAACATACCAATTTATAATGTCCGTTAAATATAGCGGGGTTGGATGGCCGAGTGGTTAGAACGTGTGCGCTGTATCATAAAGTCTGTGGTTTCGATTCCCCGGTTGTACGTGACAAGGAGTAGCGTCGCCTGGCCAACCTCGTGGTCCCAAAATGACCTAGTTTGGGTCGAATGGACGTTAAACCCCATCTCTCTCTCTCTCTCTCTCTCTCTCTCCATTAAATATATCATTCCATATTTCTATTTTACAGGTTTGACGTCCATACCAAAGAAATCCCAAGATGAGTTGGCATCAGAAATACCTAGAAACCATAGCTGAAGGTGTAAAATATCTATGGAACAGTGGTCACTTCTCCGACACCACCATCGTAGTCCAGAACAAACGCTTCCGATGTCATCGAGCAATCCTCTCAGCGATGTCACCACACTTCGACGCAACCTATTCCACAGGGATGCGGGACAATCCAGATGGAGTTTTGACTCTTTTAAACATTGATGTTACAACCTTCGACAGCATCCTGACTTTCATTTACACAGGTCGGGATGTTGTCTGTGATGAGAATGCAGAGAGTCTTCTTCGTGCAGCAACTACACTTCAAGTCAAAGGCCTTATAAGCAGATGCGCTGAGTTCCTGTCCGAAAACTTGACCCCTCAAAACTGCATCAGAATGTGGCGTCTTGGTAGAACCCATGGCTGTGAGGAGTTGGAATCACGCGCATGGCCGTTAATCCTGGACAATTTCCTAGATTTGATCAAAACAGAAGACTTTAAAGACATTGATGTTGATGAATTGATAGCTGTAATCAAAGATGATGATCTGGTTGTTCCGAACGAAGAGTTGGTGTGTGAATCTGTATTCAGGTGGATTTCAATGGATCCAGACAATCGCAGTGTTCACCTAAGCTCCATCATTGAGCACTTGAGGTTCCCACTGGTGAGTCCCGAATATCTCCTAACAATAAGTCAGCAGAAGGGACTCCTAAAAGAAGACATGGTTTGTAGGATGATGATGGAGGAGGCAAAGAGGTATCATATGTTACCTTCAAGGCGCCAGGAATTCACGTCAAAGCGAACGTCTTTCAGAAACAGTTACGACCTAGAAGAGGTGATCGTTGTTTTAACAGGAGGATCAACTCAGATGAAACCAACAGAGATCATCTGCTTCAGCACTAGACAAAAGAGATGGTTCTCACTCGCTCCACTTCCATATGATCCCGGTGTGGAATTCTCCGCAACAACCTACGCCAATAATATTTATTTGTCCGGAGGAAGCCGAAAATGGCCGAAGATGTTGAAGTATAACAGCGAGAGTAATGATTGGAGGGAGTGTGAACAGATGGCACAAGGGCGATCCCGACACGGTATGGTAGCTGCGCGAGATTCCGTCTACGTTTTAGGGGGTTATAACAGAAACCTTCCGCAAGGAAACAAAGTCCTCAACTCCATCGAGAAATACAACATCAATACAGGAAAATGGACGACGGCGGGAGAACTACCAGTACCGGTAGAGATGGTGTCGTCGGCTGTTATTGGAGAAAAGATCTACACATTTGGAGGAGCCCAAAGAAACAATCGCAACACACCGGCTATACAGTATTTTGATACCAGAATCGGCCAATCAACGCTATTTGCTGATCTACCATTTGCTTGTCGTCTCACACGCACAGTCTGCTGCGACGGTCAAGTTTATATAATAACAACTGATGGCGACGTCATCGAATTTTCAGAAGATGCAGGCTGTCGCACTGTTGGCAAAATCGAAAATTTCGGACGTGTGCATTTTGGAGCTGTTCAGCTGAATGGAAAAGCTATAATCATTGGTGGAAAGAAACGAAATGATTCCGAATGTGATACCATGTTAAGTTTTGATCCTCTTCGAGCAGGTGCGGAGACATTGCCCGACAAACTTCCGTTCCCAAACGTCATTGACGCCTGCGTTAAAACGGTCATCAACAGTCATCATTTACGAACCATCTTCAGTATTAAATCTAAGTCAAGCCAATAGTAAAGAAGAGACCACATTGGTATCTAGATACATGATAGTCTCTATCATCCAGAAAAAATATTCTGGTGACCGAGACTAGATACATGTATATACTAGTTTCAAAAATGATTAGGGGCATGGGAAATGTGAACAACCGAATGATAAGCTTGCTATCAAGGACACGGATTTTGTTTAATTTTGTATTGATTATGTTGGACAAAAACATTGCCTTAATGTCGCTTATCCCGATCATGTAATTTTCTGACAATAGGCCCTCCACGTTAAAATGAACTCAAATTGATTAATATAACTTTTAATTAAAAAACCCCATTATCAACGACAGAAAATCTTCCGGTTTGGATTCAATCGGAATACAAATGAGCCTTTTAGCCAACGCGTATCAGCCGCGCTAGCTTGTTTATATCATCTTCAGAGAATGCCCGGATGTTGTGAAATTATGCCTAATTCATCATATCTTTGTAAATACTGAACTGAACCATCTTGGACTGATAATCCTGTGAGAGATTCAATTGTTTAGCTAGACTAAAACATCAATTAAATTGATAAAGAGTTGAATTTACCTGTATTATTTATAATGTGTAAATATTTATTTATCCGTGTATAAGACAATGTATATATAATTATCACACTTATTAAATTTTACAAGAAAAAAAGATATCCCCTTTATTTATTAAAGCTACAGCCAAAGAAAGAGTAATGCATCTTTAGAAAGTATTTTGTAATGTTTAATTGTAATTTATTAAATGAATATGTTGATATAATTTTTTCACATAACCTTTCATAAGACCAATAGTTTCTAATTATTGTTTATATAGAAGTATATTATTTATTTATAATAAAAATCTTTATACAAACTAAATTCTTGTAATTCATGTTATTTTACCTGAGAATAATCAGCGAACTATCATTGATTAGCTATGTTAGTGATCCCATTCTCGTTAAACCATGGTTATTTCCTTTCGTTTTTTTATAGATCAAATTTCGTTTTATTTGCCGGCACGGCTGAAGGCCATCAAAAGGATAATAAACAAAAGATGAATCTTAAAGCCTGGCACACACGGGGGGAGGGGGCATGGGAACTGATCTTATTTCATGCATCAAACAATGGTATGTTTTTTTATTGGCCTTCTGTGATCTTATCTATAAACGTTAATTATGAAGGCTACGTGATAAAGTACATAATACATTTTACCTTGAGATGCCGATCGATCAAACAGTTTGATAAAATATTCTCATAACTATCAAATTACAGAGTTGTCTTTGTTTTAAATGCTAATGATGCAGATATTGAGCAGTTGGGCTTCTCACCCATCGACTAGAATGGCTCTGATTCCATATTCAAAGAAAAAAATTCTAGATTATAAGTTGTGTGTGTGCCTAGTTAAAACGCCCTAAAAACCCCCCCCCCAAAAAAACCAAAAGCAAAAAATGTAAAAAAAAACAAAACAAGCTCAAGCCTTATACACATAAGTTTGTGTGAAATAGGTTTATTTAACGTCCGCTTCTACCGAAGTGAAATGGCAACTGAGTACCTGCAAATTTTGTATGTGATCAATTGGTTTTTGCTTTTATTCGATTGCGCCCTTCCCACGCAAACGCACTGCTGAGGCTGACTATTTATAATCCCCCTATTTCGTTTTCTTCTCTCGTGGGAGGTGGGGGTGGGGGGTGGGGTTGGGGGTAGTTTGGATTGCGCGGTTGTACGTGACAAGTAGTGTGACAAGTAGTAGGGTCGGCTGTCCAACCTCGTGGGTTTTCTCCGGGTCCTCCGGTTTTCTCCAACTAACGCTAGCGAATTATTGAAAATAAATTGAACCATATGTTATTCCTGAAACGACCTAGTTTGTGTCTCTCCCCCCCCCCACACTCTCACTCTCGCTCTCTCTCTTTCTGTGTCGAGGTGTCGAGTGTACGTTAACGGTGGCTGAGTAATTGAGGGGCTGGGACGCTAACCAGGAAGTACCGGGTTCGATCCCGGTGTCGGTCGAGAATATCCTGGCGGGTTCCCGCTTGTAAGAGGTGTAGGATGGAGAACACGGCAAGAAACAGCATCTACGTCTAGTCGCTCGGATGGAACCAAAAACTGAGGTCCCGTTACACGTTGACGTGACAGCTTGAACGTCTTCATTGGGCAGTAAAGCAGGACCTTAAATCCCATTTCATTTCACTTTACGTTTTTGCCTTTCCTCATCACCCAAGTTAACAAATAAAACGCTACAAACAAACAGTAAGACCCCGCCCTGTCTCCGAAAGGGCACATAGTTACTGATTATACATGTAAGCCTAAACCATGATCCACCGTAAAATGATAAAAGCAGGCCAGTTCGTTCAAACAGATATCTGCACCAAAACTTTTCCATATTTTTAAAAAAGAACAATAGACATCGATAAACATGCTCGATTTAAGAGAAAATATCATGCATAAATGTAGATCATGTAGCTAATTGTATGAAATATGATGTGATACCAATATTTTAATAATATTTAGATTCAAGTAAAATATAAATAACTTAATTTCGTAAATAACGATCGGTATCTACTTAAGTGGAGATATTGTTCATCGATATGGGGAGCTGCGGTGGCTCAGTGTGTAGGATGTTGGTTCGATAACCTCCAGGTTCTGTGTTGGACCCCGGTATTGGTCGAGAAAGTTCACTGGGATTTCCCGACGTGCCCCCCCCCCTCTTCCTGTCAGTGGTGCAGGATAGAGGGCCTGGTTCGAATTGGATGAAACACCGAGGACCCGTGTAAATATTGGCGTGCATGTAAAAGATCCCTTGGCTGTTGGAATTTGACATAAGAGTACGCCATAGCGCCGCTATCCGGGCAAAATTTCCCTCCTAGCACACTGTATGACGTATGAGTAGCCCAGTCGAACCAGAATCGTGGGACGTTAAACCCCATTTCATTCTTTTGGCTAGGACTCACGTTGTGTATTTATTTTTTTTATCTCAGCAGTTAAGACGTTTGTCTACCAGGAACAGCAATGCAACAGTTCGTCTCAACATTTTATGCCATATTTTATTAATATGGTTATTGTAACACTACAGATAACAGATGATCAGTATAATGATAAGACCTTTATTAAACATACATTATGCAAGAGCTAAATCTGCCTATTTATAGGTCTTTCGTTAGGCCTGAAATGTTATCTATTAATTAGACATTTATTAACATGAAAAGGCCATAATCAACTCTCGATGCAATATTATGTGTCCGATTTTCATTGGATTTGAATCCGATCTGCGGTTCAGCGCACATCGATGATTAAACTCAAAAATGGATTTCCCTCTCTGTCTGGTTTTCAATTCATTAAATATGAACATTCTCGATGTAAACTTAGTGGATTTGACTAAAATAGTCGAAGCAAGAATTAAAATGTCGGCCAACTAATGGTCGGCCTGTTCTCAAGCGGAGCTAATTGTAGACAGAAAAAGTAAGTTTCGTTTATAGGTGAAAAGGAGTAGGTCACCTGCATAACCTTTGGGGTTAGTTCCAAAATGGGTAAATCTATTTATTAAGACCAGCTCAATTTTCGCCAAGGTCGCTGAGATGTAAATAAGGTTAGGATACGTGATTGTTGGCAAGATTGTAGGTAAGGGTTAGGGTAAGCGTTAAGGCTAGGTCCAGAGTTAGGATTAGGGTTGGGATTAGCGCTATCCCTGTTTACATATCGTGACCTTTGATCAAACTTGAAGTAGGCCTTATCAAATAGATCCAACCTTACCTGAAAAGAAACAGAAGAGCCAGCAGCAACACAGAACAAAGCAATTAAAACAAACTAAAACATTTATGGAAATAATACATGACATAAATTAAATTAAAATGACTGATATGCACTCTAATTGTTAATAATGGTTGTGTAGGTCTCTATTCTGTTTGTCATTATTTTTCCCTAATTTATTATTATATTAAATCATACAAAAGGCTGAACTGCCATACTGTCCCACGACAAAAGATCTTTCCTTTGTAATTAGATATGTAGTTCCCTATCTTAATGTTAATTTATTCTGATATTATTAAAGCATCCAGGTGGCTTAGTCGCCAACCTGGTCTACACAACCAGTTATCTTTCCATTACTAGTGTGGTTTTTTTGCAACTAACCTAACAGTTAATTCCTGGTTTCTCTATGGATTTTGAGATCGCTTCATAAATTTTATATGACATATTCCGAGGTTGGAAGAGAATATTTGTAGGATATATTGAAGTTTGGCATCTTCCATTAAACTTCTTACTGGGAATCTTTTCTCTCCCAATTTATTGCACGCAATGACGACATGATTAACGGTCAAAATGTGGCCGCATTCGCACTGATTTATATTTATGGTCGGTAATTAAATCTTTAGTTCTCAGTCTTGTGATTAACTCACAGATTTTGCGGGATGGATGGTGGACCTCCGCCTTTACAACCAGATCGTTATTTAATTTGAATCTAAAAGTATTTGCTCTGGCCAACTCAGTTTTTCACTCTGATTTAATCTTAGTTAAAACAAAGCTGCTAAATTCCTGAACAGTAAATTTTAAGTCACCGGTCTATCTCACAGAGGCTGGGTCTTTTGCGAGTCCGGGTGTCTTATTTTTGTTTCGGAGGGAACAAACACTTGCTCAAATATTCTGAACAATTTCTGGTCTAGATGTTGTCTATCATGTATTATTGACTTTATGATGCCAAGGGAATCTGACACAATGACGGTGGATGACACACGCCACTCACGAGCTGTGGATATTGCCTTTAATTCTGCTGTATGGATGGAACCACCCATCTAGTAGCCTTTTGTGATATATTAACATTAAATTCAGGAATGACTATACACAGTTTTGATTGTGTTTGGATCGCGAGATCCGTCCGTGTATATTTTCAAATGATATGACCATTTTTCGTTCAAGAATTCCCTCGATAACATTTGAGCGTGTTGTGGGATCACTTACATCAAATATCAACATTTTTCGTTGATAATACCAATCAAATTTCATCTTATTAGAGTGGTGTGATTATTAAAACATGATCAACTCATTGTAAATACTCCACAACACCCATTAATCAATTTGTGTTAATTTCAGGTAAAGTTGTCGTTGTAAACATTAATCAAATTTCATCTTCTTTCAGCGTCTGTCATTATAATCATATCATTGTATATACTCCACAACAAGTTATCCATTAATCAATTTGTGTTAATTCCAGGTAAAATGGTCTATATGTCGGATTAAATGTTGTTATTAGCATTAAACTTTTATAATACTTAATTAAGTTATATTCCCTTTAGGTACATGTAATTAGAAGGGGTATCTCTGGTTGGTCAACATTAACCAAGTATTGTTGTGTACATTGTCTTGTTATATTTTATATTTTATCATTGCTTGATAATGACATAGAGAGAGAAGCCTAGTCGAAATGTCGCTTAGTAATAAGCAGTAATTATATTCCATAGAATTATGACCTGTATTAATAAATGCATGCTTAACAAAGTGATCTTTTAATAAGGAGTTCCGGCTGCGTGGCCTTGCATTGTTTCTACAAATCATCACCTTGAATACGTCAATATAGCATTAACAAATTTGCAGAGATTATAGATTCTCTGATCTGATTATTGATTGAGAATGCGGCACATTTATATATTAGACACTGCTGATTTTTGGCGCATTAATAATTCCAAACAAACATCGGCCTGGTTGAACTATTAATATTAGACGGGTTGTTGCTTCCTTCATAAAGTCATAAACTCAACGCGCAGTTACATCGCAAAGGTTTTAAACTTTTTTAATTGTTACCGGAAAGGACTATGTTTATTAAAGAATATTGCGTGTTCATATTTTTTGTTTTCGTACCCCAAACATTTAGTCATGGTATTTCAAATTTATCTTTAAATAAACATTTATGTAAAGTCACTGGGTCTGCTGTGGATAATACTATTTTGATCCGTACTTGGTTCAGTCGTAGTTTTTTAAATTGTGTTATAGAATGTTCAAAAGAGACAATGTGCCAGTCTGTATTTTTTGATAAATCAACAAAATTGTGTTATTGGAATAACAACATTCCTGTTACTGTAACAACAGCAACAACTTGTGGATCTTTACTGTATTTACAGTTACATACCGTAAGTATCTAAAAGTTAAATGCAAGAGGTAATGTCAGTGCGGAGATTAGATTTGAGGTGACCCATTGTTAAAAATTGGCACGCATACAAATAAAAAAAAAAATGAAGAAATTTTAAAAGCAAATTTATTATTTTTTAAATTTTAAATTAAAATGTGTATGCGACCCCTGTGGATGGTGACATACCATGCGGTAGCCTGTTCAGCTTATGTCTAAATCCTGCATTTGGTAATTTCACCTCGATAATCTCTTTTATTTTAGAGGAATTTAATTTATATTTACAGCAAGATAAAATTAAAAACCCTACGCTTAATCTTTGATTTGCATGGATTCAAAATAATTTTTTTTAAAATTTCTTTAGATTTTATATGTTGCTTGATTTTGTGAAACGGCAATCGGCGTTTGTTCAAATTATAAGCCCGTAGATGCATAAAATTTTGAGATTTACTGGATTGTGTGTTCCTCGGTCACCAAAAATAAAACAGAACTTACAAACAAAGCGACTTCTGCTTAATCATTCAAAACAAAATCTAATCAACTCCATTCAGTTCTTTATTTTGAGGTAAATCAAACCGATTTCGTCACTTTCGTGGTCCGGAATCACCTTGCACTAAATTTCTTGAAATTCATCAAGAGGTTTAAAGTCAATATTACAAGGTAATACCCCATTAAAATATCATGAATAAATATATACATAAATTGAAACGATCAAGGTATATGGTAATTTCATGGTTGTTTTCTTTCCAGGAAACCAGACCAACATCCTTCTGTTGTTTGTCTTTTGACCCTACAGCTACACCAGAACCCACAACAGAACCTACTACTTCGGGTAAGTCAACATTAAGACAGTTTAAATCCCAAATCATGTAAGTAATAAATAGCCCCAACCGATGCGGTAATAATGGCCATGAATCGGGTAGTTGCCATTGGGCAAAAACCGATTCTTCCGTAAAAAAAATCCCACGGATTCTCTCAAAGCCCGGAAAGACTTATCATACGATATATTTGCGAATTTCTAAGAACAATGGCCAGGAAACAAAGAATAAATGAATAGATAACATGATTAAGGACATTGCGGGTTATATTTTGCGTTAATGGAAGTCAGGGCGTGTTCATGAATTTGAGTAGCTGGGTTTGTTTATAAAATCATTAGCTGAGACAAGAATCCTGGGGGCTGTTTCTCGAAATCTTAACTAAAGATAAAATCCAAATTTTACTAGATACTTCAATTTTGATTGGCTAAGCACTAAAATCAACCTAATATTATCCAATCAAATTACTAAAATTTGGATTTTATCTTAGTTAAAATTTTGTGAAACAGGCCCCTGCTCATTTAGATGCATATAGGATTAGAGTGAAGTAAGGCCATAACAAAGGCATGTTTGTTTGCTCGACGGTATTTCGATGACATAGGAGGAGGATAAAATATACCCAGTGCGAAGCAAGGAGCCCCCCCCCCCCCCTCCACCTGACACGCGCCAGGAAGTGTTCTACATCATACTGTTGTAACTGCTACAGGAATGAAATAAGGTTTAACGCCCTACTATTCCACACCAGTTGGTATCTAGAGACGGGGATACGCTTTGCGGTGTGCCGTGAAGAACTTTCGGCCTATTCTTTATCGAATTACAACTGTCGCGGGTTCCTTTACGTCAATGATAACACGAGCATAGCGTGATTTTTCGTCCCATCCAAACAACTAGACTGGTTTCCTTACCAGTCCCTGCATCAGCTTTCTCTGCCAATACATCAGTCAAACCCGGGACCCCATGGTTTAACGAACTGCATACTGTTAATCAAAGGTGGATATCTTTTTCTTAATAATAAATCAAAAACCCGCCTGAATGGTTAATATAGTAGTCAATTTTATGTACAAGTATACCTTTAAATACCTGCAATAGCCGAGAAAGTTCATCGGGATTTTCCGGCGTGGTTTCCCCTTGTCTGTGCTGAGAACGGAGGACCTGTCAAGGACAGCTGTCTAGTCGTTCGGATGGGACGAAAAACCGAGGTCCCGTGTATACATTGGCGTGCATGTAAAAGATCCCTTGGCAGTTGGAATTCGATATAAGAGTAGCCCATAGTGCCGCTGACCGAGAAAATTTTTCTCTCATAGCACACTGTATGGCGTATGACCGTCTTCATTAGTCTATTTTAGGAGCAGAACAGTAGGACGTTAAACCTCATTTCATTTCATTTCACCTTTAAATAATTTAATATTTGTCTAAGCTGTATACATTAAGTCTTTAATGGTTATTTATAAACCAACCCTTCGTCGAATTCCAAATGTCAAGGGTCCCGTACCCGCACGTCAACTAGTACACAAGCTTATCTCGATTTTCGTTCGACCCGAACAACTATACACATTTACTTGCCCTGCCCTGTCACATCTGTATATTTATTGTTACTTATTAATTACAGCCATTAATATTAATATCTGATTGGTAAACATTATCATACAAAACGGCGTGTAGTGGTTCAGACTAAATCAAGAAGTATTTCATTTGAAGTTTCCGATCCTCGTAAAAGCTAATAGCTAAAATATAAAAGTTATTGTTCGTTTCCTATTTATATGTATATCCGGCCTTCTCTACTGACCTCATTATTGAATATCCATAAAATAATCACCAATTCTAAGAAAGTGTTGGGTTAAATAATGTTATTGATTTCATTATTTGTCATGTGTTGATTTGTTTTATGGAAGGATATTCTGTCTAGATCTAATAGTTTCGAGATTAAACAAGTGGACTGTCCCCAGAGCGTTTCCTATCACAACCGAAGCAACACATTTTGATTTAAATCAAATCCTTTAATCCAGAAATGAAATGTAATGGGGTTTAACGTTCTTTTATTCTGCTCTGACTGTGCTAATGAAGACGGACATACGCCATTACGCGATACGGTGTGCTGTGAGGGAAATTTTGCCCGAACAGCGGCGCTATGACCTCAAATTTCAATGCCAAAGGGTCTTTTACGTGCCCGGCAATGTGTACATAGGACCCCGGTTTTTAGTCCTGTTCGAACGACTAGACATCTGTCCTTGTCAGGCCCTCCGTCCTACACCACTGACAATTGGACAGCACGCCGGGACATCCCGATGGACTGGGATCGAACCAGCGAACCCCAGGATAGCAGGCCTGCGTCTTACTCACTTAGACACCGTGGCTCCCCTTTATCCAGAAGAGAAACAAGAAAACTGGTTGTGGGCCAAACCCGAGTAAAAAAAAATTAGTAAACAAGCGGGCTCCCACATAAAGCTTGTCCCAGCGAAAATTCAAATAACACATTAACCCAATTCATTGCTTTTTTAAAAATTAAATTAGACAAGTTTAGCTCCTTAAATTCAGTAAAGAAACCAGAAATGATAAATCATGAATGCAACTGGTAGAGGTATAAAAATGTCACCTGCTTAATGAAATTAGCTTTGAAAAACGCGAAATAGAGAAACAATCCGTCATTTTTAGAACATCAAATGCCACTACCCTTTTATTTAGCCATTTTGTAATTTTGTATTTTTCAGTGGGTTTTCTCCGGGTCCTCCGGTTTCCTCCCACTGCTAAAGACCCCTACGCGCAAGCGAATTATTGAAATAAAGAAATTAAACCATATGTTAGTCCCGAAATGACCTAGTTTGTGTCGAGTGGACGTTAAACCCCATTTCTCTCTCTCTCTGTATTTTTCAGATTGGAGCCACGGTTGCTCAATGATTAAGACGTTGGCTCGTTTACCTGGAGGCCCCGTGTTCGATCGGGGTTTTCCGGCGTGATTAGACCATGTCAGGGTTGCAGGACGGAGAGACTGGCAAGGGACAACGTATCATCGTTTGGATGGGATCGAGGTCCTGTGTACACATCCTTTTGCAATTTAAATTCGGAATATCAATAGGTCGTAGCATCGCTGTCCGGGCAAAATGTCCCTCATTAACCCAGTTAGAGAACAGTAGGGCGTTAAGCCGCACTTCATTTCATTGTATTTCAGACAGGTATCTCTGATGGTAATAGAGACTTTTGGCAAGCTTAAATTCCTGGCCCGTATCGCGTATCCGTATTGATTTTGCGTGTGACGTCATCAATGCGTGTGTATTTCTCATACGTGATACGACACACGGATACGGCAGCACGTATCGAATAGCATTCATACGGAAAAGTTCTGTATAACATTGTTGTCTTTTTACCGTTCTTTTTGCTACTATATCATAGCGTTTTTATGAATCTATGTGTATCCTAGAACAAGAATGTGTATATTTGATGTGATTTTAACCATGGCAAAGGCTGGAATTTAATCATTACTTTTGATGAGATTTTCGCGGAATTTTCATATTTTTCCTGTCTGTCTGTCTGCATGCTGGTTGATATCCGTGCTAAATTTAAGGAGACGGGACCTTGCAAATCTGATAAATGATACATTAGTGAAATCAAAAATTGCTGTCGAGTCGAAGTCGGAAGATTTTTTTAATACGATTCGACACTGAATGTTTCTTAAATTTCAAATAGCTCAGCGACTGTCGAGCGACTTTACTCCTTTCAGGAAATTTTAGGCTAGTCAATAACTGCCATCGTGCTGTAATAGAACTCAGCTCAGCTCAGCTCAGCTAGCTATACGTACGATGGGAAAAATTCCACTTGCCAAAAGTCTCTAATCATTACTTCAAGATCATATTTGAACTAGTCGCCCGTACTTCAAATCTATTGCTTCAATTAGCAATAAATAATTGTGCTTATTCGTTTTTATTTTAAAAAATGTTACCTTTTATTTCTTTTGTAATCTGTACAATTACCAAAACTCCTACAACTACAATTACAACAGCATCTCCCACAAGTACAGGTGACCCTGATGGATTTGTAGAACTACCTTTGTCTGGTATTAAAGTACGACTCATACCAACACCACTGTTTCAGGGTCTAGCAGCAGCCGATTGTTTAATATTTGCAGGAAGTAAATTGGCAGTCATCAATTCTGCTCTCCGACAACAAGACGTACAAAACTATTTAGATGGCTTAGGTATGTATTATCCCTAACCACACCTGACGTAATAATATGATATTAGTTATCACCCAGACCTCCACGTAATAATATGATATCATTTATCACCCAGACCTCTACGTAATAATATGATATCAGTTATCACCCAGACCCCCACGTAATAATATGATATCAGTTATCACCCAGACCTTGACGTAATAATATGATATCAGTTATCACCTAGACCTCGACGTAGAAATATGATATCAGTTATCACCCAGACCCTGACGTAATAATGTGATATCAGTTATCACCCAGAAGCCGGCGTAAAAATATGATATCAGTTATCACCCAGACCCTGACGTAATAATATGATATCAGTTATTACCCAGACCTCCACGTAATAATATGATATCAGTTATCACCCAGACCCCCACGTAATACTATGATATCAGTTATCACCCAGACCCCCACGTAATAATATGATATCAGTTATCACCCAGACCTCGACGTAATGATATGATATCAGTTATCACCCAGACCTCGACGTAAAAATATGATATCAGTTATCACCCAGACCCTGACGTAATAATATGATATCAGTTATCACCCAGACCCTGACGTAATAATATGATATTAGTTATCACCCAGACCCTGACGTAATAATATGATATTAGTTATGACCCAGACCCTGACGTAATATGATATTAGTTATCACCCAGACCTCGACTTAATGATATAATATTAGTTATCACCCAGACCTCGACGTAATGATATAATATTAGTGATCATCCAGACCCTGACGTAATGATTTGATATTAGTTTCATCCAGACCCTGACGTAATGATTTGATATTAGTTATCATCCAGACCCTGACGTAATGATTTGATATTAGTTATCATCCAGACCTCGACGTAATGATATAATATTAGTTATCATCCAGACCCTGACGTAATGATTTGATATTAGTTATCATCCAGACCCTGACGTAATGATTTGATATTAGTTATCACCCAGACTCCCGTCGTAATTAATGATCAATCGGGATTGAGAACCATTGGCGCTGCCTGGAACGAAAAGGAGCAGATAAATCAGACGATAAATCTGTAAAATTAGTAGACCAAAACATTGATAGTGTTGTAGGAAACCAGAAAAAGACAACGCCTAAAATGATAAACGGGCGGCAATATGCAAATGAAATGAAATGGGGTTTAACGTCCAATTGTTCTGCTCCGAACTGGGCTAATGAAGACGGGCATACGCCATACAGTGTGCTATGGCCTACTCTTTAATAGAATTCCAACTATCAAGGGATCTTTTACGTGTACAAAGGACCTCGCTTTTTCGTCCCATCGAACCACTGGACAGCTGTCCTTGTCAGCCCCCCCCCCTTGTCCTGCATCATTGACAAGAGAGAACCACGCCGGAAAATCGGGATGAACTTTCTCGACCAATGCAGGCATCGAACACCCCGCCCTTCAGTCTAGCGAGCCAGCGTCTTACCCACTCAGCTACCGTGACCCTCCCCATATGCAAACGAATACCGTAGCAATAGGGACACCATCATTCATTCTCATTTTAGGGGAGGTTGGTTCTTATAAGGTCTGTCATGGAGTCAACTAGCGTGATTTAGATTCCCCAGTTGTACGTGGCAAGGAGTAGGGTCGCCTGTGCAACCTCGTCGGTTTTTCTGCGCCTTCCGGTCCCCGCCCCGAATGCTAAAGACCACTACGCGCAACGAAGTATTGAAATAAAACTGAACCATATATTTGTCCCGAAATCCGAAATGACCTACTCTCTCGATTTATTTGTCGTAAAACGCGGTCGTTTTCTTTGTAATTGACAGGTGTGAGCACGGCTTATATTGGTGCAACAAAAGGATTGATTGGCTGGATATGGACGGATCTCAGTAATGTAGAATATTCAAACTGGGCATCTTCACCAGGATTCTTAAAAACATGTACCATCATGGACAGCAGCAAGAGCTACCAGTGGAGCGCAGTTTACTGCACGGACAGTCATCCTTATTTATGTCAAAAATTGTTTACATAATTTTGCAGTAATGACCAGAGCATGAAGACAAAGACAAATACCCAAATGAAGCACGAAGAAAAATATCCAAATAAAGACAAATATCCAATGATAATTTCAATAGCGTAGCCAGCGGGTTGGACATATCTGTCCCGGGGCTCTACTTCAGTCCACTGCTTTGAAAAAAAAAGTTGCATACAAGCTGACGCAATTGTATTTTCCCACAAAAGCACTGCTAATACTAGGTTTCCACTATCACGCTACGATTGAAATCGTGGTTTTAATCATGGAGTAATCGTGGTGATCCTATCAGGTCTTGAGGTTATCCAATGAAGCATGAAGACAATTATCCAATGATAATTTCAGTAGCGTAACTAGCGGTTGGGACAGGTCTTTCTCGGGCTGTACTTCAGTCCACTGCATTGACCCAAAAAGTTAGATACAAGCTGACACAATTTTATTTCCCCACGAAAGCACTGCTTATAAATATGTTTGATGTGTGTTGTACTTTGTTCTTCGTGAGTCCATGTTTGTATGGGTTGGAAGTGGATGAGCAGTTAGAGTTCGTCAAGCGGTCAGGACGATCGGTTACCGTTAAGGGAATGCTCATATCATCTGTTGGTTTTATTATTTTAATGCTATTTGAATATTCAATTTAATTCTTAAATGTCAGGTTCAGATTCCCCGGTTGTACGTGACAAGGAGTAGGGCCGGCCGTCCAACCTCGTGGGGTTTTTTCCGACCCTTATGCGCAAGCCAATTAATTAAAAAAAATGAACAATGTGTTAGTCCCGAAATGACATAGTTTGTGTCGAGTGGACTTTAAATCCTATTTCTCTCTCTGTTTCTATAAAAACATTTTCACTCGTACAAACGATTTTGTCCTATTTATAGCAACACATAGCCAAACTGAATAATATGTCCCAATCTTTATTCTGGTCAACAAATTGTACCATTTTACAATATTCCAATTAATTGATGATACAAATTTCATCTTAACACACCTAATTTAAAAAATTGGAAAAATTCAACTAAATGATTTGAAAAGCCTGACGTAAAGCTTTTCAAATGTGACTTGGATTTAAAAATATTTTTGAACCCTCTGGACAAGTAAAATAGGATTTAATGGATAATTTACACAACAGGTAGGACACTAACACATCTAGTACTTAGAATAAGGCTATTTTTTTATTTTCTGGAGCTGTCAACCCAGCAAGAGTGTTATTGTCCCTTTAAACGTACATAAATAATGTTTGTTTATACAATGCTGGTAAATTAGTAGAATAAACACATAAAATAACCATATAAAAGTGGTATATACATAAAGCCAGTATTTGCTATGTACACATTACAACAATTTACTTCAAAGTCATTCATATATATTCACTCTAAGTCGCAAATATAGACTTTCCCTACATAAACGAGTTTGTCAATTATCGAAAACACTCTTAATCTTCTTCCCAGGCACCAGTGACGTTTATTAGGAATGTTTACTCTTCAACTACTTATACAACGGCGATGGGCACTCATTAACGCCTAATTGATTAATCAATCTCCTAGCGTAAAGAAATGAAATGAAAGTTCAAAGTCATAGTGTTCTGCTCCAAACTGGGCTAATGAAGACGGACATACGCCATATGAGTAAAATTTTACCCGGACAGCGGCACTACGACCAACTGTTATATCGAATTCCAACTGTCAAGGGATCTTTTACGTGCACGGTTTTTCGTCCCATCCGAACGACTAGACAGCTGTCCTTGTCAGGCTCTGCGTCCTGCATCACTGACGGGGGGGGGGGGGGGAGAACCACGCCAGAAAATCGGGATGAACTTTCTCGGCCTTTGCAAATAAAATATAACAATTAACTATACCGTAATTTGTTTTGTATAAAATGATCGAGATAAATTAGCTTAGCCTATTAAAGATGCATTATGTCAAAATTAGAGAAAGATCTGAACGTCCTTGCTATAATAGTTAAAAAATAGATAATGAAAAGTGAATATATGTCATGAAATTACTTTATTCAGAGCGAAGTTATAACTGTTTGAAGATTATAGCGTAGATCATTTATTATCTTAGCCTAGATTGTTCATTTTATCGTAAGGGGGCGGGGTCTTGTGGTTTAACGCGTGCGCGTGGTTACTCATAAAATCATAAGGTCTACCATTGAGTCAAGTGGCGTGGTTTCGATTCCCCGCTCGAACATGACAAGGGATAGGGCCGCCTGTCCTACCTCGTGGGTTTTCTCTGGGTCCTCTGGTTTCCTCACTTTGCTAAAGGCGAGCGAAACATTGAAATATAATTGAACCATATGATAGTCCCCGTATGACATAGTTTGTTTCGAGTGGACGTTAAACCTCAATTATCTCTCAATTTCCCTCGCTATGATATCAGTTATCACCCAGACCCTGACGTAATAATATGATATCAGTTATCACCCAGACCCTGACGTAATAATATGATATTAGTTATCACCAAGACCCTGACGTGTTAATATGATATTAGTTATCACCCAGACCCTGACGTAATATGATATTAGTTATAACGTAATGATATGATATTAGTTATCATCCAGACCCTGACGTAATGATTTGATATTAGTTATAACCCAGACCTCGACGTAATGATATGATATTAGTTATCACCCAGACCTCGACGTAATGATATGATATTAGTTATCACCCAGACCTCGACGTAATGATATTATATTACTTATCACCCAGACCTCGACGTAATGATATGATATTAGTTATCACCCAGACCTCGACGTAATGATATGATATTAGTTATCACCCAGACCTCGACGTAATGATATGATATTAGTTATCACCCAGACCTCGACGTAATGATATGATATTAGTTATCACCCAAACCCTGACGTAATGATTTGATATTAGTTATCACCCAGACTCCCGTCGTAATTAATGATCATTAGGGATTGAGAACCATTGGCGCTGCCTGGAACGAAAAGGAGCAGATAAATCAAACGATAAATCTGTAAAATTAGTAGACCAAAACATTGATAGTGTTGTAGGAAACCAGAAAAAGACAACGCCTAAAATGATAAACGGGCGGCAATATGCAAATGAAATGAAATGGGGTTTAACGTCCAATTGTTCTTTTCCGAACTGGGCTAATGAAGACGGGCATACGCCATACAGTGTGCTATGGCCTACTCTTTAATCGAATTCTAACTGACAAGGGATCTTTTACGTGTACACAGGACCTCGCTTTTTCGTCCCATCGAACCACTAGGCAGCTGTCCTTGTCAGCCCCCCCCCCTCGTCCTGCATCATTGACAAGAGAGAACCACGCCGGAAAATCGGGATGAACTTTCTCGACCAATGCAGGCATCGAACACCCCGCCCTTCAGTCTAGCGAGCCAGCGTCTTACCCACTCAGCTACCGTGACCCTCCCCATATGCAAACGAATACCGTAGCAATAGGGACACACCATCATTCATTCTCATTTTAGGGGAGGTTGGTTCTTATAAGGTCTGTCATGGAGTCAACTAGCGTGGTTTAGATTCCCCAGTTGTACGTGGCAAGGAGTAGGGTCGCCTGTGCAACCTCGTCGGTTTTTCTGCGCCCTCCGGTCCCCGCCCCGAATGCTAAAGACCACTACGCGCAACGAAGTATTGAAATAAAACTGAACCATATATTTGTCCCGAAATCCGAAATGACCTACTCTCTCGATTTATTTGTCGTAAAACGCGGTCGTTTTCTTTGTAATTGACAGGTGTGAGCACGGCTTATATTGGTGCAACAAAAGGATTGATTGGCTGGATATGGACGGATCTCAGTAATGTAGAATATTCAAACTGGGCATCTTCACCAGGATTCTTAAAAACATGTACCATCATGGACAGCAGCAAGAGCTACCAGTGGAGCGCAGTTTACTGCACGGACAGTCATCCTTATTTATGTCAAAAATTGTTTACATAATTTTGCAGTAATGACCATAGCATGAAGACAAAGACAAATACCCAAATGAAGCACGAAGAAAAATATCCAAATAAAGACAAATATCCAATGATAATTTCAATAGCGTAGCCAGCGGGTTGGACATATCTGTCCCGGGGCTCTACTTCAGTCCACTGCTTTGAAAAAAAAAGTTGCATACAAGCTGACGCAATTGTATTTTCCCACAAAAGCACTGCTAATACTAGGTTTCCACTATCACGCTACGATTGAAATCGTGGTTTTAATCATGGAGTAATTGAGGTTATCCAATGAAGCATGAAGACAATTATCCAATGATAATTTCAGTAGCGTAACTAGCGGGTGGGACAGGTCTTTCTCGGGCTGTACTTCAGTCCACTGCATTGACCCAAAAAGTTAGATACAAGCTGACACAATTTTATTTCCCCACGAAAGCACTGCTTATAAATATGTTTGATGTGTGTTGTACTTTGTTCTTCGTGAGTCCATGTTTGTATGGGTTGGAAGTGGATGAGCAGTTAGAGTTCGTCAAGCGGTCAGGACGATCGGTTACCGTTAAGGGAATGCTCATATCATCTGTTGGTTTTATTATTTTAATGCTATTTGAATATTCAATTTAATTCTTAAATGTCAGGTTCAGATTCCCCGGTTGTACGTGACAAGGAGTAGGGCCGGCCGTCCAACCTCGTGGGTTTTTTTCCGACCCTTATGCACAAGCCAATTAATTAAAAAAAATGAACAATGTGTTAGTCCCGAAATGACATAGTTTGTGTCGAGTGGACTTTAAATCCTATTTCTCTCTCTGTTTCTATAAAAACATTTTCACTCGTACAAACGATTTTGTCCTATTTATAGCAACACATAGCCAAAGTCCGTTTATTATTTAAAGGCTCAATACCACTCTTGTTGTAACTGAATAATATGTCCCAATCTTTATTCTGGTCAACAAATTGTACCATTTTACAATATTCCAATTAATTGATGATACAAATTTCATCTTAACACACCTAATTTAAAAAATTGGAAAAATTCAACTAAATGATTTGAAAAGCCTGACGTAAAGCTTTTCAAATGTGACTTGGATTTAAAAATATTTTTGAACCCTCTGGACAAGTAAAATAGGATTTAATGGATAATTTACACAACAGGTAGGACACTAACACATCTAGTACTTAGAATAAGGCTATTTTTTATTTTCTGGAGCTGTCAACCCAGCAAGAGTGTTATTGTCCCTTTAAACGGACATAAATAATGTTTGTTTATACAATGCTGGTAAATTAGTAGAATAAACACATAAAATAACCATATAAAAGTGGTATATACATAAAGCCAGTGTTTGCTATGTACACATTACAACAATTTACTTCAAAGCCATTCATATATATTCACTCTAAGTCGCAAATATAGACTTTCCCTACATAAACGAGTTTGTCAATTATCGAAAACACTCTT